CAGGCCCCCGCCCAGGCAGGACAACCGACATAGGCGTGAGGCGGCCGCTCCTCGTCAAAGGGATGTATCCCCAAGGCGAAGAGAGCAAGACACAGAGAGGCCCAGGGAAGGGCGTAGACACCGAAGAAATAGGCAAGCTCAAGATGAGGCCCCTATCCACGAGATAGATACCATATTTGGAGGCCCTTATGTTGGCGGTGAAACGCGGAACGCCAAAAGAAATTATGCTAGGGAGGCTAAGCACCCCCTCTGACGAGCTACATTGTGGACAGTAGCTCTCGAAAAAACCAAGTACCACCAATTGTCTTCACCCAGGAAGACGCCGAAAGAGTCCATTACCCCCACTGCGATGCACTGGTGGTGAGGGCTGTCATAGCCCGAAATGGGCTCAAACGAATGCTAGTCGACAACCACAGCTCTGTCAACATTCTATTCGGGTCCGCCTTTGACAAGATGATATTGGACCATCAGTTGACGCCCACCACCACTCCATTGTACGGATTTACCGGAGATAGCATCACTCCGAGAGGAAAGATAACACTGGCAGTGGAGATGGGAAAATCTCCTCAAACTGCGATGAACTTCATGGAATTCCTCGTAGTTGACAGTCGGTCGGCTTACCACGGAGTCTTGGGCAGACCGGCCCTAAAGGAATTGGGAGCAGTCACCTCCATCCACCACCTATGCATGAAATTCCCAACAGAAAATGGGGTGGCAACGGTGAGAGGCGACCAGAGAGGTTCGAGAGAGTGCTATCTGAGCTCCATTAAAAAGGTAGAGCCCTGGGACGTCCACGTGATCATGGCTGATGTGGTCATGGTGGATATCCCAAGTGACGCTCCCACTGACCAGGAAGATGTTGATATAATTGACGCACCGTTTATTCAGGAGGTGCTGATCGTTGATGAGATCGACCCCCGAATAATGGAACATGAGCCTCAAGCATCCCCTGTAGAGGAACTTGAGAGCTTCTCAGCCGACCCTCGAGATCCATCCAAGGTGTTGAAAGTAGGCAGAGGCCTGTCCAACATTTTGAGAGAAAAGATTAAGGACTTCCTAGGCAAAAACATTGACGTCTTTGCTTGGAGGCACGAGGACATGGTGGGCATAGACCCCAAGATCAGCTGCCACCACTTGAAAATTGATCCTAATGTTGCCCCGCACAGACAAAAAAGGAGAGCCCTCAACCCTGAGAGGTATGAGGCCCTAAAGGAAGAGGTTCAGAAGCTCATCCAAAATGGCTTCATTAGGGAGGCCACCTATCCGAGGTGGGTCTCCAACCTTGTCTTGGTTAAGAAACACAATGGCAAATGGAGGGTATGCATCGACTTTACCAACCTTAATAGAGCTTGCCCGAAAGACAGCTTTCCGCTTCCAAGGATTGACCAATTGGTGGACTCCACGGCTGGGCACGAGTTGTTGAGCTTCATGGATGCATACTCCGGCTACAACCAAATCACCATGCACCCGGCCGATGAAGAGCACACCTCTTTCATCACGGACCGAGGCCTCTATTACTATAGAATGATGCCTTTCGGGTTGAAAAACGCCGGAGCAACCTACCAAAGACTCGTGAACAAAATGTTTACCGACCTCATTGGCAAGACAATGGAGGTCTACGTGGATGACATGCTGGTGAAGAGCTTAGAGGCAGAAAACCACGTAGGGCACCTCAACGACACCTTCCAAATCCTGAGAAGGTACAGGATGAGGCTCAACCCCTTGAAATGTGCCTTTGGGGTGGCTTCCGGCAAGTTCTTGGGGTACATGGTCAACCAGCGAGGAATTGAAGCAAATCCCGAGAAGATTGAGGCTCTGTGCCAGATGAGGTCCCCTCAAAAGCCAAAGGAGATGCAAAGCTTAACTGGACGAGTGGCAGCACTTAGTCGCTTTGTCTCCAAAGCAACTGACAAGTGCCTCCCATTTTTCAAAGTGCTCAAGGCTGGGAAGAAATTCCAATGGACTGAGGAATGTGAAGAGGCCTTCCAAGGATTGAAAAGGCATTTGGGGCAGGCCCCCCTCCTCTCCAAGCCGAAGCCCGGCGACATCTTGCAACTATATCTTGCCGTCTCCAATGACGCCATCAGTTCGGTTCTGATTCGAGAAGAAGGGTCCACCCAACTTCCCGTCCACTATACGAGTAAAGCGCTCCTATCACCGGAGACCCGATACCCCGATATGGAGAAGCTTGCTTTGGCTTTAATCACGGCCTCTAGGAAGTTGAGACCCTACTTCCAAGCTCATACCATCCATGTACTTACAAATTTTCCCCTAAGGCAAGTTCTCCAAAAGTCCGATGCCTCGGGAAGATTGTTGAAATGGGCAGTGGAACTAAGTGAATTTGACATTGTGTTCAAAGTTAGGACAGTCATCAAAGGGCAAGCTTTAGCTAACTTTGTTGCTGAATTCGTCAACCTACCCGAGGTGGATGAAATCATGGAGTCCGTCGAACCCCCCACGTGGAGCCTCTTCGTTGATGGCTCAGCTGGGGAAGTCGGCTCAGGTGTCGGGGTTGTCCTCATCAGCCCCAAGGGTCACAAACTCACCTCGGCCGTGAGGTTCGGATTCAAAGCCACCAACAATGTTGCAGAGTATGAAGCACTCCTTGCGGGCCTCAGACTGGCCAAGGAAATGCAAGTAAAGAAGCTACTCGTCAGTAGTGACTCCCAGCTGGTTGTTAGCCAAGTCAATGGCAATTTCTCAGCCAAAGACAAAACAATGGCCTCCTATCTGAAAATGGTGATGGACCTCATCCCATCCTTTGAAAAGTTCGAGTTAACCCAGATTCCCCGCATCGAAAATGCTCATGCGGATGCATTCTCGAAGCTGGCTAGTAGCAAAGACTTAGAGCTACTCACTGTAGTGCCTATTGAACACCTCCTACTGCCTTCTACCAAGGCCCCTAATGTCATGTGGGTCGGTGGAACTCCCACCTGGATGCAACCAATTATAGCATATCTGAAAGACCAGGCGCTGCCCACCAACAAGAATGAGGCTTATAAGCTGAGAAGGAGGTCAGCCCACTTCCTCTTCATCGATGACATTCTCTACAAGAGAAGTTTCTCCTCTCCACTCTTACGATGTGTCGGAGGAGAAGAGGCTACCTACATACTAAGAGAAGTCCACGAGGGAGTGTGCGGCAACCACTCTGGAGGCCTATCTCTGGCACAAAAAATATTGAGGCAAGGGTACTACTGGCCTACTCTGAAACGGGATGCTCTCGAATTTGTGCGAAAATATGACAAGTGCCAACGATTCTCTCCCGTTCAAAGACGACCATCACAGGATTTGACTGCAGTCTCCAGCCCCTGGCCTTTCTCAAAGTGGGATGTGGATCTCATAGGCCCTTTACCTAAGGGAAGAGGAGGTGCAAGTTTTGCAATAGTGGCCATTGATTACTTCACAAAGTGGGTCGAAGCTGAACCACTGGCAAAAATCACAGAAGCAAACACCTCCAAGTTCCTATGGAAGAAAATTATTTGCCGGTTCGGAATTCCCTACTCGATCGTCTCAGACAATGGCAGGCAATTCGATAACAAGAAGGTTAGAGAACTGTGTGAAGACCTTGGCATAAAGAAGCACTTCTCTACACCTCACCACCCACAAGCTAATGGCCAAGTTGAAGCCGTAAACAAGACAATCAAGCACATCCTGAAAAGGAAGCTTGATGTATCCAAGGGAGCTTGGGTTGATGAGCTGCCCCAAGTACTTTGGGCAATCCGAACCAACACTAGGACCCCAACGGGGGAGACCCCTTTTCTCATGGCTTTTGGGACTGAGGCAATGAGCCCCGTGGAGGTCGGACTCCCATCTCCACGTCATCTGCACTTCAGCGAAGTGATCAACGACGAGCTCCGGAGGCTCGACCTCGATTTCATTGAGGAGAGAAGGGATGACTCCCAGCTGAGACTAGGCACCTATCAAAGAAAGATGAACAGATACTTCAACTCCAAAGTCAAGAAGAAGTCATTCCAAATCAACGATCTTGTGCTCAGGAGGGTCTTCCCATCTTCAAAAGAACCTGGTTTCGATTCCCTGGGGCTGAGCTGGGAAGGTCCATACAAGATCAGAGAAGAAATCCGACCTGGAGCCTACTGGATTGAAGACATGGACTGCAAGGCACAACCCCGTCCATGGAACATTGAACACCTCAGAATCTTTTATCAATGAATTGTATCATGCTGGATGACTTTCCCAGCCTTTGTAATATTTCTATGGCTCAATAAAATGCATTGATTAAACCGTCTGGGATGCGTCGTCACCTCGGAGGAGAGGCTCGGGACCCACCTCCGGGCCACCTCGCTTGAACTCCGAGGCGCTAGCACATGCCTCCCTTTGGCCCTGCTGAACGCCAAGGGGAGAAGCCTCAATATGGCCGCACCATCCACCATGTCTGGGATGCGTCGTCACCTCGGAGGAGAGGCTCGGGACCCACCTCTAGGCCACCTCGCTTGAACTCCGAGGCGCTAGCACATGCCTCCCTTTGGCCTTACTGAACGCCAAAGGGAGAAGCCTCAACATGGCCGCACCATCCACCATGTCTGGGATGCGTCGTCACCTCGGAGGAAAGGCCCGTGACCCACCTCTGGGCCACCCCGCTTGAACTCTGCCTCCCTTTGGCCTTGCTGAATGCCAATGGGAGAAGCCACAACCCTAAAATCCGAGGCTCGCACTGTTTATGTGCTTCAATCCGAGGTTCACACTGTTCATCTCCTTAAGTTATGTTAATTTGCTTAAGTCCGAGGTTCACACTGTTCATCTCCTTAAGTTAGGTTAATTTGCTTAAGTCCGAGGTTCGTACAGTTCAGTCACTCAAGTTATGTTCATTTATTTAGTTCATGCTTCTATCAAGTTCCAGTAAATTTGTTTAAACGAGGTAGAAAAACTTGGACAAAAAGCAACAATGAAAGAAGAAAGACATTGTATTGATATTTCAAAGCAAGTTACAAAGGAGGGCCTCTGGCCATTACATCCAAATTACTGAAAAAATAAAACCTAGTCTATGCCTGGCTAGATGACGGAGGAGCCTCGGCACTGGGGCCTTCAGCAACTTGGGCATCAGTAGTTGTTTTCTCTGCCTCAGCACTAGGGGCCTCAGCATCAACTTCTTCATCACCCTGGACCTCCTCAGCTGGGGTCTGAGGTACCTCATCCAAAAATTCGGACCTAAGTTGAGCCAGGTCCAAGTTGGGATAGAGCTCCTCTACCCTCTCCAGCACTTCGGCATAGGCGAAGTTCCTCCAGTACGCGCTGAAGCTTTTATACTCCTCTGTAGTGTGGAAATTGGTGATGTATTCCTTCACCGCCTCTTCCCCTACAGTTCGGGCCTCTTCTCTGACAACAGAGGTGTCATTCATGTACCACTTCGCCTGGCCTTCAAGAAACTGATAAGCATCTCGAGCACCGGCCACGAAGAGGTTCGCCTTCTCAAGGGCCTCAGTAGTCACCTTTTGGTGCTCATTGGAGACCTCCACCTTCTTTGTCAAGGAGGCCACCTCGTACCGTAACTCATACACTTCCTTCTTCAGGGCCTCAATTTGGGCCAAAGCAGACTCTAGCTTCGCCGCTTCTTCAACTTTCTGGGATTTGGCTTCTTCGGCCTCGGCCTTAGCACCTTTAACCTCCTATGCAAAGGAGCAGCTTTCCCCTCTGAGGCGTGGGTCCTTGTCTGGAATTCTCTTAATGCCTCCCTGCATTCGAGCGCAAGGCCAAAGGTCCGGGCGCTTTGGCTCACCAGTGCCCTTGTGAGGTCGGTGGCATCACAAGACGAGGCATGTAGCTGCCACCTCTTTGTCCAGAACTTGTAAAAGCTCTCGGTGGCACTTCTGATTTCCTCAGGGAGAGCCTCCAGCAAGGTTGGGGCCAGCTCCTCCTCCCTCCCAGCTAGGAAGTTTGGAGACTTCCCCTTCTCCCGAACCGGCTTCTCCTTTGCTGCCTCCTCTTCGGCGGCTTCTGCAGCTCGCCTTGCAGTCTCTTCTCTGGCCTCTTCAGCCTCTACCTCTCTTACCATCTCCATTTTGATGGCTTTAGAGGCTGCAGCAAGAAGCTTCGGCTCTCCAGTCTGTTCAGCCCTATAGGACACTGAGGTCCCAAACTTGGCAGCTGAGCTGGAGATGTGCACCAACTTCCTCTTCTTAGTCTCCTCAGAGACTTTCTCCTTGTCTCGAGGCTCCTTAGGCTTCTCAGGCCTCTGAGTAGTTGCCTCCTCCGAGGCCCTGGGAGTACAGTCCTTGGACAGGCGCTCAACCCTGCCTCGGACTTCCTTTGCCCCACTGGACCCAGGCTTCAGGGGCCTCGCCTTCGCAGTAGAAATGGCCTTCAAGATGGAGGCCATGTCCGGAGCTGGGTACTCCCTCTTCTTAAATTTGTCTGCACAATGTCAGATCAGCATCAGCATAAGAAACATTAAGGATAAAAAACAAGGGATCAAGTGTTGGGGCCTCATACCTCTGGATGCCATCAGCTCGAAGTCCAAAAAGTATCTGCTTCTATCAATCAGGTGATCGAAGTGCCAAAGCTTCAGAGGCCTCTTGTAAATGTCCTCTATCACCTCGAATTCCTCCCTGCTGAGCTCGAACCTCGTACTACTATCTGCAAAGGAACCTCCAACAGTTAGACGAATTCATATTCTGACTTCAAAATACAAGCAGAGGTCGGGAGACTCACGAGCTTCGTAGTACTGGGTCGGCACTGTGCATGACAGGGCTTTGTCACCCTCTACTGCCTGCCATTTACCTCGCACCCAGAACCAGGACTCCTTCCACCCCTTGATAGAGGAAGGAAGTCCCACCACAAAAGGTGCGTGAGCCCCCCAAGGCGTGAGGTAGTACCACCCCCTTGACTCCTTCCCAATTACCCGGGGTTGGAACAGGGTCATGAAGACATGAAGAGGCATGTCCTCCCCAAGTGACACTTCCTTCCACAGGAAGTACGAGCCGACCAACTGGCTCCACCCATTCGGCAGGACAAGGGTCAGCGACAGCATGAATTTCCTAAGCACCGCCCTAAAGAAGGGGTGCAGAGGAAGACGCATACCTGCCTTAAACAGGTATTCACTCACGGCCACGCAGCCGGGCCTCGGATAGCAGGCCCGCTCGTTCGGCTCGGGGACTAACATCTCTATGTTATGGGGCACACTGTACCTCTCCCTAAGTTCCCCCAACCTCTTCCTCGTCATATTCGAGGGCACTCTAGAAGCTCCCCACTCCTGGGTATAATCCACAGCCTCCTCGGCCATGGCATACCTATCCACCTCGGACATCCCCCCATGACCTACCCCATGGTCTAAAGAGGCCACTGTAACAAGCTCCCTACCCGAAGTGAACTCTATTTTGTCAGTACAAAGACAGTAACGAGGGTTTTTTATGCAAACAATACCTAAACGAGTTCGACACGAACGGAGATTGGTCGGAATTCAATCACAGACAACCTCGACGCCGGAAAATTGGAGATTTGAGAGAATTTCAGAGTGCAAAGTGTTCAAAAATCCTGAAAATTGAGATTTTCTCGCCTTTTATAAAGGTCCAAGATGAACCCCAGCCGTCAGATCAAATCTCAGTCAATCCGAGCCCTCCATTTCAGATCCAATCCGAGGCGTTGAATTCAAACAGTTTTTAAATCCTACGCCTCAGATTTATGCGTGCCTCCCACGCACCTCTCCACGCGTCTGCTTCTAGAAACGACAGCTGTCCTCATAATTGCATTTTTAATTCGACGGCACCAGCGCCTTGGAAGTCGTAACGGTTCAGCTACCTTTCCTCGAAAACAAGCATAAAATATCAAATCATTGGCACAGCAACCAACGCACAATCATTACCATTGGACCTCGGCAAGCTTTGCATGTTTTGTTCCTCATCCACCTCAGCTTCCTCTTCGCCATTCAGCAATCAAACCTTGCAGGTTCGGTTCCTCATCTAACTCGGCTTCCTCTTCGCCCTTTAGCATCAAAGCCTCGCGGGTTCGGCTTCTCAACCACCTCGGCTCATCTTCAGAGTTCAAACACCTCGCCTACTTCATCGCTCACCCACAGCAACACTTCTCAAACTCCAACCATGATATACATATCTATGCTTGGACTTGGGGGACTATTATTTGGGGTTCAAAAATTCTTTCAACTTTTACTCCATTAAAGTCCACGCATTATATTAATGATTATACTTGGACTTGGGGGACTATTGTTGCGTGTTGTCACACCAGTCCTACCCACCTGGGCCCATGGCCCACTCACGGCGATCCACGTGGCACACAATGCCGAGGTGGGCTACATCCGAACTGTTTCGAGCCGAAGTCCATCTATCGAGGTTCCTTTTTGTCCGAGGCCCATTGACCGAGGCCTACGAACCGAAGCCAGGCTGCTGGAACCTGTTGAGAGCAGTTGAGGCCCTCAAGTGGAAGTATCATGACAAATGGCCGAAGCCCCGAAACTGATGCGCGAGCCTCTGAACCACAAGGAAACATCCTCCATGGTCACTTCTCCCAAGAGATCGCCTGCACAGATCTTATTCGAATGATTGATGGAACGTTTGTCATAAGCATAAAAGTCAAGTCTTGTCACTAGCATGGAGGCCCTACACAAGCAATAAATGTGCCGCAAGCTAGCCAGTCAAGCCCCATACCTAGGAAAAGATGTTCGAACTAAAGAGATGAGGCCACGTGCCACTTCATCCGAGGGCTCCCATTTCATATGTACTACTATAAATACTTCCCTTGTGTAATATCAAAAGGCTAATGTAAGAATCAATACAAAGAACTACATTTACTCGACTCTCTCTCATTTACTTGCAATACACAAATCGAGTTTATACACTTTTACATATACATCTACGAGCACCGGTTGGTAATTATTGTACAATCGGATTACGAACAACCTGCCGGATTCCGAACGTCACCATCCCGCGTCGTTGGGCTACTCCCACGCCCCTTTGAACTGCTCGTTTCAGACCGTTCACGTGTCTTAGCGTGTTGGACATTCGCCTACGCAAGCGCGAGTGGGACCGGCATCTGTTGGCGCACTTTTTGGGGTCAACACACGCTACAACCATACTTCTCTATTTCTGCATAATATTTCTTTCACCATTTTCTCACGCTATCACTCATATATCTTTAGAAAGTTTATTTTTGAGCACATAAGTAAGTTTAAATAAAAACATTATTTTTATATATGTGCGTAAAAGGTATATAGTAACCATTTGGATGACAAAAAAATAATATCAATCAAAATGTTTACGAACCGTTTAAATAATAATTTATTGAGGGGGTTAATTCAAGATCAAAAGTGTGAATTCCATAAATATATGATTGAAAATATGTTTAACGAAAAATAAATTTTAAAAAATGAAGACCAAACATATTAACAATTGAATATATTTATTTTTTGAGAAATGAGTTTTTATTACCATTTCATTTTTATTATGAAATAATTCTAATCTTAATATATTATAATGTCCTTCAAAATTACATAATCTATCAAATATAATTTTTATAAAATAATATGTTTTTATGATTTTTTTTTTTTTGTTTTTTGGAAGGTGAAATATAATAGTACTAAAAAATAAAAAATAATTAAATTTTTACATAATACCTCCGTGTAACGAAGGCTCATGCTTGAGCCTCCATAACAATTATGGAGGCTCGAGTATCAGTCTCCATTATTACTTTACTAAAAAAAAAAATCGTAAAAACATATTACTTTATAAAAATTAATTTTAATAATTATATTTGATAGATTATGTAATTTTGAAGCACAACCTAACATATAAAGATTAGAATCATTTCATGATAAAAATGAAATGATAAAAAAAATTCATTTCTCGAAAAATAAATATATTCATTTGTTAATAAATAAAAACATTATTTTTATATATGTACGTAAAAGGTATATAGTAACCATTTGGAAGACCAAAAATTAATATCAATCAAAATGTTTACGAACCGTTTAAATAATAATTAATTGAGGGGGTTAATTCAAGAGCAAAAGTGTGAATTTCATAAATATATGTAAAAAAAAATTCGCTTAAAGTTATTTAAAAGTAAAAAAAAAATTATAATTGTAAAAATTACTTGTAACTTAACAATATATTAACTTAAAAATTTGGAGTAAATATTTAAATATATTTAATTTTTAAAATTAAATATTAACTTATATGTTAAATAGATGATCTATAAATAAAATATCATTTAAATAAAAAAAAAATATCAAAGGAATCTTTCCATATTTATTATGGAGATCAAGCCTCCGTATTATAGAAGATTGAGACTTCCAAGCATGGAGACTAATTTTTTTCTTTGAATTTGTTTATTAGTAATATTTTTATTTGTTGATATTTTTTGC